TACCGAATCATTCTAAGCAACATATGGCAATCTGCGGTCTTTCCTTACACTTAGGTAGCACGGAAAGCCGCAAAACTCTTGAACAAAGGCTCATCTTTCAAACCGGCACTCTAAATCCCACAGGTATCAACGAACGCTTTTCATTCCACTAAATTATTCGAGTTTTTCTCGTTGCCATGTTCCCACCAATCACGTAGCTCCATTTTCTGCCTTTAAAGCCACACACAACCCACAATTCCTCTATTCGCTCCGACGAAGGGCTAACGCTTTTATAATCGTAACGGTGGCCAATATACCATTTCAACTTTGTTGATATATTCAAATTATTACACCATGTAAGCTTTTAGATTTTAGATCTACAGAGATCGCTATCAGATTCCCTCTAATTAAGCCAAAGAGGACTCATCGGTTCGCCTAGGCTATATGCTAGGGTTCACAAGCTATCTCAAATATAGTTGATAATGAATCATCTATCATGGTGGTTGCTTGTTCTTACTCGGGGTACCAAAGCGATCCCTAAAACACCAAAAATGTGACTTAATCATGGCTCTGAGCGTAAGGACAACAAATCAGTAATTCGTAAATCCAAGAAGCTCATGGGAACTCAAATCTCCCTACCTAAGGGCTATTCTCAACTCGTTGAAGGATTAAACAGATAATGACTAAAGTGGCTAACATCTTGGGGAAGTATCTTCGAAAATCTCCTGCCCTTTTTCCGGAGTAATACTTTACAACCTATAGAGGCTGTACTCTAACGCTCAAATACTTAACTTTATTAATTAAGAGGGATCACGCTGAGAGATTGATTCTGCCGAATGCCTTTGGTAATCCTGGTTGATTTATGTCTAGATCTTTCCCATTTTGGAAGTCCTCGGAGTGTCTAGAAATACCCAATGCTGCATTACGGATATGTATTCAAGTGGACATCCCACGCAGCTTTTATCCGCTTTTCACCATTCATTTCTGCAACATGCGAAGTATAAGTAACATTACTTCCGGGAGACTAGATTCCGTCAGTGTTAAAACAACTTGAAAACTTTGGAATAAGCCCTCAGTTTTAGCTCTTATACCTTCTCAACTTATGATCCGTCTACTCCTGAATTATGAATTTACTCTTTTCCTTTTTGTTCAAACGTGACTTGTGTAGGGTGCTAGGAGTGACTTGACGAAGCACCTTCAGGATAATTCCGAGGAACATTTACAATTAGCTTTGGAAGTGATCAGAGAACAGAGAACTGAAATGGGAATACAGCGAGGCCGACTGAGGAAACAGGAGGACAATATAAATCAGCTGATGGAAAGTGTCGCCAAACTGACAGCACTGTGTGAAGAAACACTAAAAAATAATGCCGACCAGGAAAAAACAATCAATCGATTGTCTGAACAGTTAAAAGAGCAGAAAAAGCATCAATCTAAACACGAGAAAGAGTTGAAGCAGAGAATGGCCGAGTTAGAGAACCGCGAGTTAGAAATGCCCCACAACGGATTAGCTCGTTCTCCGAGACTTGACGGTTACGGAGAACTTGTTTGGCGAGTTTCGAACTTCTCCCGAAGATTGCAACGCGTCCAGTCGGGTCGCTGCGACGACCCGATGACCAGCGAGTCCTTCTATACTTCGGCATTCGGTTACAAGATCGTCGTATGGGCCTACATCAATGGCAGAGGCAAAGAAACTGGGCATTGCTTGTCTTTGTACGCCTGCGTCTTGTGTGGAGAGTATGACGCAGTACTTTCCTGGCCGATCAAACCTCGATACACATTTTCATTGTTAGATCAAAATCCAAATCCTGAGGCGAGAAAGGATTTAACGCGCACACGCAAAGTTCATGACTTCAAACGTGATGACGTCAGAAGAAAGGGAATTGATCGGCCTGGTCGAGATGAGAGAGCCATCATCGTTGGATTTGACGATTTTGTTAGACACGATGAACTCGAGGCTGGTAACTTTTTAGCTGATGATACTTTATTTGTTCGCATTCTTGTCGACATTCCTGAATCTTGAGGAATTTCCTTATGCGATTGGTGTTACTTGAGGGGAATTCCTCGCGATTTATGTGTATTTATGAAAAAGAACCCAGATTTTTCAAATTCGTCATTTACAATCCGCGTCAATTTCCTCATCCTTGAACATCCTCGCTCCTATATCCTCACATAAACTTTCCTACCATAGTAAATTTTTTCAACACAGGGTTCAAACGTCGGGCATGCGCAGAGAGATCATTTTTTTTGCCGGCCGCGCGTCAATTTCCCGCGCAAAATTTTAAAGGAACAGGAAACAATATATGGGAAAAAAATTTAATTCTATAAAAAGAAACACATGTATGAAAATGAAACACGTAAGCCTTGTTACACACAGAGCTCACGGTATCCTGTTGATTTACCCATTTGTTTTTAGCTATTTGGCTCCAAATACCTTAACTTGCTGCCCTGTGTAGCTGCTTGCAACTACTGCAAGCACATCCTACTCAACGCTCACACGTGTGCAGATGTTTGACGCTCTGTTAACTTAAGATGAGGTCACTTAACATGCCACCAAAAGGAACTAAAACTGTATTGATGCAGCTCGTTCAACGTCAAAGCTAGAACTTGCATATTGGACAATTTGATAAAGATGCTTTTGATTGTTGCGATATGTTACCGGACTTATAAGCCCACCAGAGCGCACGCACTACCTTGGTCTCTGTGATTATTTTGATTTTGGTTCTAATGCACTGAACTGAAACTCGCTCAACTATATACTCAACAAAACGTCTCTCTCGTAATGCTTCAATGACGAATGTACAAACTGGCTCTAAGGTGCAATACGGGATTTCCATATAACTTTTCAGCTAGAATTACAGATTCTTAATTCTATTTAATCAAAACAAACTTGTAAGTTAAACGTTTCAAATGTAGTTTGGTAGTTTCTCTCTGGATTGTCTTCACTGTGAAGTCTCGCCTGGTGTGAATAACCTCTAAAAAGGAAATTAACCTAACCAATATTTATATTATTTGGCGATCTTAAAACATGAAATGGTCACGAGAAATAATGCTAATGGTGTTTCGTAACTGTAAATTCTGATCAGTGAAGTTAAATAAACTGAGCTAAGTGGCAGTAAATGATGTTTGATGACAAGTGATGGTAAGTGACAGTGACGGACGCTTAGTTTAGGCGGAGAATGACATTTAGCGACAGTGAATGACGCTCAGTGACTGAGAAGGACACTTACTGATAGTAAATGGCCTAGTGATGGTAAAAGACACTTAGTGACGGTAAATGACGCTTATTGACGGTTAATGATGCTTAAAAGCCGTAGGTAACGCTTAGTGACTAAATGCGCCTATGACCAAAGATGATGCTCAGCTACAGAAAATGAAGCGCAATGACTGTAAACTGCGGTAAATGATGTACATTTACCATGAGTTATGCTTATTGACATTAAAGGTGGTCCAAAAGGAAAACTGCAGAAAAAAAAAATTAATAAAAAGCAAAACGAAAAAGGGCGACGAAAATGATGACAATATGGGAAAAAATAAATAAAAAAGACAGGAAAGACAGGTTTGTCTGACTGAGAGTGTAATAGAGCGTTTCTGGTCAAGAATAAAGGAAATGAGTCATACCTAAAACTGATAGAGGCGATGTAAAAGAGGACATTAGCACAACCTCATTTGCCGGGCTCGTTAAACTCGACGATTCGGACACTTCTTAAAGAAGCTATCCATGTGGACGCATTTACTTTAAATGCATTTCTTTCATTTTCATCAGACACGGCTTTTATCTGTTTGATCAATCAACAAGGACTTGCAATGTTCGAATCTTCTAGCCGCTTTGCGATTTTGGACACTAATGGCCGATTTTGGACACCATTGGCCCACAATAGAAGAGGAAAGACTTCTCAGCCCAGAACGAAGTCTGCCAAGTTTTGCCCAATATTCCGTGATCTTGGCTTTTGTTTGTTTCGGAACATCTTCGATATTTCAACACTTGGCGACGATTTCTTCGGATTACTTCGAATGTTACTCGGAATTAGCCCGTGATCATACTGTTTCGCGGTGCTACGTGTTGTTTTGTTTCAGGATGGCGCGTGAAAAAAACATAGCTTTACCTTAGTGAAATGACTTGACGGAGCATCGTGATAATTTGAAGGATTTTCTTCTCAAGAGAGAGCATTGTAATGTTTGAATCAGTGAATTATGCCCCATAGATCCGAAGATAAATTTTTTTCAGTTCTTGTCGCGACACACAAAAGATGATGAACATCTCAAAATAATTTAACAGTGCCGTCTTCGGTACGTAATTTACTTGCAGAAATAACGACGTGGGAACTTTTGAAAAAAATTTTGCTTATTCGAAAGGAGAGCATTTGACCGGATCGGAGCCGCTAAATTTGCGAAGCAAGCGAGGTCCGAAATACCTTGAGTTTCACAAGGTGACCCTATGTGATGGGATGATGGTGCGGGTGAATGGCGGGATATCCTTAAACGTGGAATAAGTTACGGTTAACGTATTCCCTTCCTTCCTTCATTCTTAAATGTAGTCCTATCAAAAAACCGTTGGGGAAAATATGAAAGCTTTGGAACTTGTTGTGATTTATAAGTGTAGGGAGCAAAGGGCGAGATAAAACTTGCATCAAAAAGTAATTATTTATTCATGTTCGTCTCACACCTTAGGTCAGCGTGCAATGTGGTTGAAGGAGTTGAAGTGTTTCGCTTCTTCGCACAGAAACTCGACGTATTCTGGCGGTTTCTGCGCTCGTAACAACTTCTAATAGTATTTTTAAGACAACTGCTTCCTTATGTCAGGCTTAGGAGCCCAAGTGTGGAGATACTGTTGGTGAGAGACTGCGCAGTACTCTCTACTTCGAAGGTCTAGTCAAAACCTATCTCCTTCATAAATAATTTACAGAATTTTTGATAACTTCGTCTCAGATTTTTATTCTGTCAGTCTTCTGAAAGATACTAGAGAAACATTCTTATCTGTAAGTTGTCTTTGTCATCTCGTTCACAGTTAAGCAAGACACTTTCGCTTTTGTGCTCTGGGTTTGCCGAGTTACCTTACAAGCCAGTCTCTGGACCACTGGAGTTTTTTTTGTAAAAACTTGTGTTTTTTTAACTGCTATCCAGGCAGTTAAAACTTTCACACTTTCAGACACTTTCAGACACTTTCGCTTTTGTGCTCTGGGTTTGCCGAGTTACCTTACAAGCCAGTCTCTGGACCACTGGAGTTTTTTTTTGTAAAAACTTGTTTTTTTTAACTGCTATCCAGGCAGTTAAAACTTTRAGACACTTTCGCTTTTGTGCTCTGGGTTTGCCGAGTTACCTTACAAGCCGGTCTCTGGACCACTGGAGTTTCTTTTGTAAAAACTTGTTTTTTTTTAACTGCTATCCAGGCTATCTAAGGAATAAGTTTAGTTTCCGGTCTGTATCCTATAATCTACGCGGCACTCGACAAGACGGCTCTATTACCCCGCTGTTGCTTATTGTAGGTTGTTGATTTACTCTTTAAAGCAGAATCTTTTAATTTTAAGATCTCCAAGAATTTCTTTCTGGGAATTTTTCTTTTCTCGGAAAAAAATCCCAGAAATAAATTCTTGGAGATCTTAAAATTAAAAATAACTCTCCTCCTTTAAAGATTAAAAAGAGAAAGAAAAGTGACCGAAGGGGCCGGAACCCCTCAGATGTGCTTTAACAATTAAATTAAACGACGGCTGGGGGATACATCCGCCGCTTAATTTGAATTGTTAAATGTGCACTACCGCTAGACCACAGAGGCTTTTGGTAAGAGGACACGGCAAATTTTCATTAGAAGTAGGTTCGCTACCATTGTTAATTGAAACAATAGGTTCGTTCAGAACCTGTCTCACCTGGGTGGGAATAAATTTTTTTTATTTTCTACCTTTGTCCAAAAAAAAATTTCATCTGCCATTTCATAATCGTATTGCATTCCACTGAATATATTATTTGACTTTTCAAGGTAAGATTTTTCCAGCCCAAATGTCTCTTGCCACTCAAGATCAAAAATTAAACTATGCAAATGGGGCTAATGAAGTAAATCCTTGTAGTGTAGGGTTACACAAGAGACCAAGAAAACCGTGTAAAGCAAAATTAACATAGAGTCAATATATTTTTATTTGTAAATGTCTCAAAAGTTTGAGATGTCGACTTTCATCTTATCGTGTATTGTCACTGTAGCTTTCATGAAATTAAAACAACATGTCACTTTGGCAAATTTTAAAACGACTTTATTCTACTAGTAGAAGTCTTATAACAACGTTTCAATTGTATTACTTCTGCACGACTTTCATAGATTTTTAACGACTTTTTTACTTGCACTACTACTGCTAGACTTTGACAGATTTTTGAAGATCTTTTCTCATTACACTACTTATGCAGTTGAGAATTTTTGATCGAATTTTCAGCTGCATTTTGACTGATTTCACAACGACTTTTCACTCGCATTGCTACATTTTGAAGATGACGTTTTAGTTTCACTGCTATGACTAGATTGTGATAGATTTCGAAACGACTCTTTAGTTGCACTGCTAGTTTGACAGATGTTTAAGACATTTACTTGCATTACTACTGCTAGACTTTGACAGATTTTAGAATGACCATTCACTTGCATCATAACTGCTAAGCTAAACATATTCTTGAAGACTTTCAACTCGCACTTACAAATTTCAAAATTCTTGCCGAATGACTTTTTGACGTCTACTATTTCAGAATTTTCACAACTTTTTGAGCGATTTTTCAGCGGCACGTTTACGATAAATTTTTAAACCACTCCAAACAAAGAAAGTTTTCTACGACATTCTGCCTTCTCAACGAAAATTCCCCCCAATAAAGTAAGACTTATTCACTTAAAAGGTTTGGTATGGGCAACATTTTACGACTCTTAATAGGTAAAGTAACACTTGAATAAAATTTCAAAACTACTCTCGCTGCTACGAAGACGTAAAAAAATTCTTACTTCACTTGACAGTTCTTGTTATTGGCTTAGATAAAAAATAGACAGAGACTTCTCTCGTTTCCTTCTTCAATAATGAAATTCCAGCAACCTGCAAAAAGAAAGCAAGAATGCAAGGTGAACACAATAGACCCACACATCTCAGAAGGAGGATGATCAGGATCAATCACAATTTCCAATCTATTATTTCTAGGAACAAAGGGAGCCAACCTAATTCTAGGGTATTTTTGCCGAGATTTCTCACCAAAACCTCTGTGGTCTAGCGGTAGTGCACATTTAACAACTCAAATCGAACGACGGCCGTATCCCGCCGTCGTTTGATTTAAGTTGTTAAAGCAACTCCTGGGGGCCTAAGGCCCCGTTGGTCGGTTTTCTTAATTCATTTAATTTTAGGAGCTCCGAATATTTTTATCCGAAAAATTACTTCTTCAGAAAAAAATTCTCGAAGCTCTTAAAATCAAATAAATTCCTGCTCCTTTAAAGATTAAAGATAAAAAAATGCAAACTTTCAACTTAAATTTAAACGACGATCAGTAGGTATGGTCGTCGAACGAGCCAGGTAATGTGCAATACCAAAAAAACATCAGTAATGCCAAATACAGAGAAAAAGAAGAAAACCCTGACGAAAAAATATAATCTACAATAAACATCAAACTTGTAGAGCATTTCCTCTTTTAAAGGCATTCACAATCTTTTTCATGGAGACGTTTCTTTTGTTTCAGATTTCTCTGATGGACATATAATTTTCAACTTTATCAGTAGTAAGAGTCAAATTCCATTCTTAGGAAATTGGATACCATCAATAAGATAATCTCAACTTTACTTCAATATTCAATTGGCTTGTTTGAAATGAAGCAGTTGTAATATCTTGTAGATGTTTGTTCTATATGTGTTAGAAAATATTGATACACTTTTAGTTTGTGTTAAAATTTGAAAATTTTTCCCTCGATCTGTAGCAAACTTTTGCTTTTAAATTTTTATTCGTAGTTAAGCATTACCGTTTCGTTGGACAAAATGATCATTATGTTTAAAATGGTTACTATTTTCGATCTACACAGATTGACACAAATTTATCGCCTCTTTTTTCTTTTACACAGCTACAGTTGTAAAAGAACACATCGAAGGCTCTCCAGTAAGACTGTCATATAAAAGACTTAAAACGATGTAGCACAGTGCACACAAAACTCGATGAGAAGGAAGCTGATTTTGTAACTAGAAACCAAAACTTTCTCCCATAAACGCACGTTCAGGTTTTTTTCCTTGGGTTCCCTTTTGTTTAAAAATATGTGTATCATGGAATTCAATTCCGTAAAAACAATCTGTATGGTTTTAAGGTGAATTGTCTGAATTTTTCACTTATTCCCAACTTGTCTAAATTTGTCACGGATCACAATTATTTGTCTTTTTCATTCTGAATCAATTTCCCGTTTTTAAAAAACAGCTGTTCCATTATCCAGTTGATTCCATTATGATCTCTCTATATTGGTAAATACACTATTTGTTAGCCAAATTTCCTTTGAGTTATTGTACTTCTTGACTTAACAAAAACGTTCACTAATGGAAGCATTTCCTCTGTAGGGTAAGCCACATCTTTTCCTACTAAGTTCAGTATTTCTCCATTAAGCTTCCATCAAAATTTATCAAATGATCAGGAAGATAGCTTCCATTTTGGTACGTAACTTTTAAAAAATCAGTATCAGCTTAGTTCATGTGTACTGATGCTATAAAGTAGAAAGAGCATAGTTATCTGTTCGAGAAAAAGTATTAGACAACCTTAAGAAGTTTTTCATACACGCATAGAACTCTTTCTGAACCCTCGCTTCTAAAAACTCTTTGATGATGATCCATTGCTTTACATGGAAGCTGCCTTGGAGTGAATCTAATCTTTAAAATAAAGTAAAAAATATCGAAATTGTTTGAGTTGATGATCGAAGTTTTTCATTTGTCAACTAGCTATAGTTCATAATTTTTTGCAACACATTTTTCAATTGTCAAACTGAAACTGTTTTAAAATTGCTTAGAACTACTTTACAGTTACAAAATAATTTCTCTTTTGGTGAAATTTTTCTGTTTAAAGGTCTCAGTAAATTTGAGAACTATTCTTTTCAGTTCAAAACCTTTTTCTTTGCTGATGAAAGAATATCCTCTTTTACTGAGGACAATCCGCTGATCTAGAATTTTTGTTCAATCAAGTGGCAACCTGAATTAGGAGAGGAGTACCTTGACTTTGCTGCACAATTTTTAACATTAACATCCTCTGTTTCTGTCGATGAACAACTTACGAGCGACAAAAAACATTTTCCATGGTACGACCTCGTTCTGAAAAGCTTAGAAATATATCCCTGACACAAAAAAACGCGACTGCCTTAGTATGTACAATTTTGCATCAACAGGTTACGATCTCACTCGTCTACTCTGTTAATTGTTGGTCTACTATCCTTAAGCATTCTTATAAAGGTAACTTTCGGTAATATTTTTGGCCCTTCCTAGATGGATATTGTAAAAAAAAAAAAAGATTAGATCGCCAGGAGACCCTTGTAGAAGTAATAAAGAGATTACTTCATGGAAAATGCGCGCGTACAATTCTTATTCACTCGTTGAGGAGTATCAGAAAACTCACTCGTTCGTTTTCTGATACTTCTCAACGAGTGAATAAAATCGTACAAAGCATTTTCCATGGTGTAATTTGTTTATTTTATAGATATTGAGCATCTTAAACGTAAAAGAGGATAACCTGAATTTTGCTTTTTAATTTGAAACATTAAATCGATGGTTTTAATTTTATAGGAAAAAAGTACTATCCGTGAACAAACACATCGTTATCTCTCTTTTAAGAACTTCTTTTGCAGAGCAAGTAGCTTTACCCCTTTTGATACCACATGAATTTTTAGTGAATGACTCTTTTTCAAGTTGTAGAAATGTAAAGAAATAGTTCCCAACGTAATAGCCGCCGTTCTATCTTAGCTCCTTTAGCTTGCAGATATGAATGAGATTGATACTTTGTACCCTTCCAAAATAGGTTTCTGAAAAGCTTTAGTTTGTCAGGGACCTTAGAGATTTATATAAACACATACTTAAGTAATTTCATTGGTAAATAAGGAAACTAGTCGAGGTACTACCACAAGCAAAACATTGAAAATCGAGTAAATTACTTAGCTTTACTAACTTCAGTTAAAAATTTTCCTTCGACACTTTTCGCCTGCTGAAACTTTCTTCGATGAGTTATTCATTGCATTGGTTCTATCCCTTGGAAATCAGATAATGTGCAAATGGTATCCTCGATACCTTGTATCAAAATTCTCACTATAAAATGTTGAATATGATTTTTGAGATAAAAAAAAAAAGTAGCAATTTTTTCGGGTCTTTATCGTTAAATAACTAACGACTTAAGTAGTCTCCTATTCAAATTCAGAACTTGTCTTCCTTGATTGAAAAATTTTGTCTCACTTAAAAAAGTGAAATTCAAAATCAACGATTGACAAATACTAAACAACACCTTCTCCTAAATTAAATACACCCATAATGTTCGCTCACTTTCCTCGAGAAATATAAAAGGCTGTCTGCTCAATTGACAAAAAAAACAATTTTCCACTTGGTAAATATTTCTCACATAGGTAAAACCAATTGCAAATATCTTTTCTAAATTAAAAAGTTATCTATGGCAACATGGGTGTAAAAAGGCTAATCTCCGTACTGCTGTCCAAATTACGATTGTTAACATTACAAGCTTTCACTGCTAGAAGCTACGGTTAGGAAAATTATCTTAGAAGACCTACTTCCAAAGAGGCATAAAACCATAGCATTAGAAGTTTCCTTTGGCGATGGATACATTTAATGAAACAATAGATACGTAGGAGTCGAATTTTATCCCTTAGAAAGTAACTTATGTGCAATTGATTTTTAAAAAAATGATAGTCAATTAATATCCTAAATTGATCGATAACTGGGTTCTTTTAATTATCGTTTTCAAACTACTTACTAACTTTGTTTAACGTTAATGTTTTGAACATAATTTCTCATTTCGAAAGGCGTTATTTCAACATGGAATTACATAGACCCTTCGATTCGACTTATTATAGTTAAAAAAGTAAATTTTTGGAGTTAGCTGAATATTTTCCCATAGTCTTTAATGTCTAACTTATTAAGAATATTTAGGAGACTTAGCAACTTATCTCTTGCAAGAACGTGTTTCATTCGAGAATCAACGGACCTTTTAACTGGTTTCAACCGCTCAATTTGTTTGGGCTGTCTTTTGTTCTTCACTCGAAAAGGTAATAGGTAATTTTTTAATCATACAAATGCCTTTCTTTAGATTTGTCTTTCTCTTTCTATCTTTATTATTTCCTTTGAAATCTTTCTTACATTGAAAAACGTAGCTTTCAATAGTTTTGAAAAACATCTTTGCGTTTTTGCAATAGTCTAGTGTTCTTTAAGACTAAGACGAACAAAAACAAGACAAGGAAACACGATGGCATTATCGGAATAATACATATTTTGGCGACGTTCTCGAAATTCCTACTGTAATAGATTGCTTTGAAATACTTGCAAAACAATAATTCAAACAACTTACATTTAGCAGGTTTCTTCTTCATTCTTCTGTATATTTCCCATTACAAAGATCCAATCCTCTTTGAGTCCTTGTTTTTATTTTATCCTTTCGACTTTGCAAATCCAATATAGGAAAAAAAGTGACTAATAAAATCAAACACACATGGTTAGTTTTCGTTTCATAAGATAAGATATAGTATGTTTAAACTAGTACTGCCGGTGTTGTTTGAGTGCTAATAGCCCAAATTCAGAAACTCTTTACGGTGGCCAACTCACATTATCTACCTAGTTGAAAGAAACCAATTATCTTGCCACTTTAGGTGGTGTCAAGTTGAAGGATCATTAGACAAGCAACTGGTCTGTACTGTCTGCTGTTGGAAACCACTTCAATTATAACAAATCCAAGAAATAATAAAAAAAAGTTAATTTCTACGTAGACTTTTTTTTTCTATTTTCCATAACTTCTGACTCTGACTAGTTTTAGCGTTCAATGCAGACCAGACTTACTGCACGAGATACTAACGTACGAATCCAGCGTTAGAGAATTCAAAAAGTGCGCGAGTACTGAAGTAATAATTCAAAGTACGATAATCCCAGAAAATACACGAGATACTAAAGTAACAATCCAAAGTAAGATGATCCGGAAAATGTGCGAGATACTATTGTAACAATCGAATGTAAGATAATCCGAAAATGCGCGAGATACTAACGTAACAATGCAACGCAAGATACTACCTAAAAGTGGGCGATATGCTAACCTAACAATCCAGGGTAAGATAATCCTAAAGATGCGCGAGATATTAACGTAACGATGTACGTTAACGTAGCTAAGTTAGTCCAATGGAAGGGAATCCTTAGAATGCGCGAAATGGTAAGGTACCAATCCAATGTAAGATAGTCCTTAAAAAGCACGAGATAATAAGATTACTATCCTCTATAAGATAACCCTAAAAATGCGCAGGGTGTTAACGCATCAATCAAATATGAAATAATATAAATAGAGCGCGAAATATTATTGTAACCGTCCAATGTAAGATAATCCAAAAAGTGCGCGAGACACTGAAGGTACAATCCAGAGTTAGATAATCACAGAAGATGCGCGAGATAATGACGTACAAATCCAAAGTAAGATGATCCAAATAATGCCCGACATACTATTGCAACAATCGAATGTAAGGTAATTCAACAAAATGCGCGAGATACTGACGTAAAAATGCAATGTAAAATAATCAAAAAAGCATGCGATATCCTAACCTAAACATCCAATGTTATTTAATCTTTCTTAAATGCACGGGAGACCTATGGGCGAAAATCAAACGTATTATTCAAATAAAATTTTATCCTAAAAGTGCGCGAGATACTTACGTAAATTCCAATTTAAGATAATACTGAAAATGCGTGAGAAACTAATGCAAAAATTGAATACTAGATAATCCATTGTGCGCGAGAGACTAACGTTAGATTTGAATGCAATGTAATTCAAAAACTGCGCGAGATACCAACCTAACAATCAAATGTAAGACAATCCAAACTATGCACGATGTAGTTACGTAACAGTCCAATTTAAGATAATGCAAAAAGAACGGAAGATACTATTGTAACAATTCAAAGTTAGATAATCCTAAAAGTGCGCCACATACAT